CCCCCCCCCAAATGATTGATTCATTCCGCCTTCAATCACCTGACAAAGAACGACAAAAGCCTAATTACGTATGTGAATGACAGAACGCCGGAATTCACGGAGCGACTGTAGCTCCAGTCTTTGGCTCAAGTACGTCCGCCCGACCCGCCATTGACGCGCTGGTTTCCCAGCACGGAGCTCAGACAGAAACCCCCGTATTTGTGGAATCAAGTGAAGGCTGTCCGACAACATCGCACGCTGCGGGCCCGGGCTATGGGGCTGGATTGTCAATTCATTTGTGTGTTTAAAGGCTGGGGGAACCCACGGGGGCTCTGTACGCTGGCTGAGTGGTGGGAGGGGCGCGGGGGGCGTGAGGGGGGCGTGAGGGGGCTTTCATTCAAGGGCGCCGCACGAGTGGGGGCGGCAAAAGCAACAATTTCCTCGAGAGCCATCGAGAACCAGGTTACATTCCACAAGATGGCCGCCACTCACAGGAAGTCTCACCACCACAATAGAGCGGACACGCCCCCTTCCCTCCCTCCATCCTTCCCTCCCCTCCTCCTCTCCTCTTCCTCCACTCTCACCCCTCCCTCTACCCTCTCCCCTCCTTCTTACACAAGACTTGGCCAGACGTTGTGATGAAGTGTACACACAAGAAATGATAGTTAATTTGTCGGGGAAATCACGCGGGAACCAGTCGCCAAACAGGAAGTTGGAGAACTGCTCGGACATCAATCAATCTTATTGGAACTATCCAAGTAGATTCGGCCAAATTCTACAGACTCAGGGCCTCGCATATATCTCAGAAATGGTAGTATGTGGAAGAAACGGTAATAGATCTCAGAAATGGTAGTATGTGGAAGAAACGGTAATAGATCCAAGAAATGGTAGTATGTGGAAGAAACGGTAATAGATCCAAGAAATGGTATTTGATTGAATGTATAGTACTTCATCCGCCCAAGTGGACTCGGCAAAGTTGAGTAAACGAAGACCGAAGTACATTGACAATATGTGGAAGAAGTGGCAGTGTTAGTAAACTAGGATCCACGTGATATATGCTCGCTTTGAAGGACAAGAAGGCTAACCCAGATTTCGAGGGTTCCAGAAATCTTTACCTACACCAAAAGTAGGCATTGCCCTACCTTTAGGAGAAGTTTGGTTTCATTGGTGTGTACATTTGTTTGGTTATAGATAAAACTCTTCTTGTCTTTTAAAAAAATTGAACAAGGGGCAAAAACTTTACCTTCGATTTTCTCAAAACGGCATTTTTCGGGATAACGATTATATATAT